GCAGAAGGGTTTACGATGGTCCTGCAGCTTCAGCGTCTGGACCCTGCCACCACTGGTCGCTATATTTTATTATTATTGTTGTTGTTGTTATTATATCGAGTTAAAGTTACACGCAAATACGACTGAAAATGAGTGCTCATAAATTTTTACTTGCTTTTCTTACATGTAACGTGTTTTTATTTATAGCCACGGGCTGCCCTTGGGTAGTACACTGTACGGTGTATAAACACATCGTGCTGCACACACACGAGTTCGAAATTTCGCCATCGCATTAATAATAATAATACACCAGCCCTCGCCACCGCAACCACGAGCATCTGTACAATACGTACATAATAATAATAACACAATAGCTGGACGACTATTATTCTCAAGTCGATGTGTAGTCGATGGACATTTTTTTCCTGTATTATGTTATTATTTACTATTTTATTCATCATCTACATTATGTTGCAATCGTGGTTCGGTTAGATTAGCGTTCCATCGAAAAAAAAAAAAATACAAAATAAATAAAGCTATCTGCCCTATATTGTCTCTGTATTTATACGCAGTAGTGTTTTAAATACCACTTAATGGTAGTTTATTCAGTTATCATTCATAACTTTTCTGTTCTAATCCGGTCTTATGATTATAACCTGAAATTGAAAAAAAATTAAAAAATGTAGTAAATTTTCTTTCTGTGATAACGGTAAAGCACACTACATATTTTGAATACATATCTTCTATCCACGATGAAATACGAATTCACAGTAAAATTTGATCGCATGAGGTAATATGTATGTGATGTAATTTTATCATTCACCGTGGGGACCATGATGGTTGTATTAAGATCTACCACATTTATTGAAATATTTTTGATTATTATTCTACACAGTTCCATACACTTCACATTTAGAAGTTTCCCCACGTTGAAATGTTTTCAATTTTGTTTATGTGTAAGGATATAGGACTCCCATAGCATTTGGATGTATGTATTAATTTTTCAACGACGCGATATTTACAATTTTCTCGATTTACCTTGACTCTATTCATCAGATTTTTATCGACAACTAATACAATAAATATATCGTGTATATTTTACTGGATTTAGATGAAACCGGTCAATTCAGTATTTGTATCAATTATATTATAAATATATAATTTAGTATTACATGGACCTTTGCTCATAATATTCTATGCAAGTCGAGAATCATCAGCATTTTGAATTAGTTACTAATTAAAAATAGTACGAGTACAACGAAGTAATGACAGGAAAAAGTGATTAGTATTTATTTTTGTAAAAGTTCTTTTTAACGCTATATTTACAAGTGGTTGTACAGTTCGGATAGTCGCAGATGAATATAAATTATTTCTTCATGCGAAAATGTAACAACTTGAAAATGTTTAAGACGCGAGTAATTCTCGAAAAAACCAGTATTATTATTTGTTCATTAATTTATCGTATTCCTAATAAATTGTACATGGATTGTCAAACATCATCATCAATATCAACATCATACACTTACTTGAATGATTAATAATTAGATAATGCCGTTTTCGAACGCAGCACTTGCGTTTTGATTTCAATTTGAGGCCTTGAGGCTCACAACATTCCGAAAAACTATAAATACAATTATCACACATCAATAATATTTCGTTGATGTTTGTCGACGGCGTTATTAACAGGATTATGAGATTTATCCATGCAGGTGACATCACTATCCACGCGCAGTGTACACAACGTATTAGTGGTATTAGTGTAACTGATGAGTAGGTATGTCGTCATTAGCAGTTAGCAGTAGTCGTATCGTGCCACAAGTTAATTATATTATTTTATGGTCTTCAGCTCCCTTCGCCTCCCCCCCCCGCATTAACACAAGCGCATACATTACATATCAGTCTTGTCAAATGGCCAGCATTCAATTTGGCTATTGAACGTTCTCAAACGTTATACCTTTTTGGCCGAACGATTAAGTAAACATACAATTAACAAAGAACTTACTGCTGACCCAAAAAACGATACGATTGAGAACGAATTTATAATCAACGTTGCCATAGTTTACCATATCATTTATTTGACTTTTGAAAAATTCAGTACACATACAATAAATATTCTTGAAAAAAGTCATAAATTAATAATTATAATCGTATACAAATAAGCGCCTAATAATATGTAATATATAATATGAATAAAAAATTTAAAATATGTGGAACTTATAAAATTATGAAATGTATATGTATAAAAATTAAATAAATATAAAATAAATATGCTATGTAGTATATTATATTGACGAATAGTTTGTGCGACGACTGCAAAGCCTAACCGTCATTCTCTCGTATCTGGTATCTAAGTTATTATTAATATCCAGCTAATCCGATAAAAGTCCGATAAATATCAACAGATTATTGTGCTCATATTATCGGACGATTACATTTGGCAACGTTGGAAAAAAAAAACTCGAGAGTTCTCAATCGGTTTACCAAAAATAACGTTCTCAATCGTATTTTACCGTTCCATTTGGTTCCATCGTCGAATTATGTCGGTAAAGTATATCTGAATCGATAATGTCTAACGACTTCAGACAATTGTAATGTTTCATATGTTGTGAAATATTATTACGATAACAGTAATAAAAACACTCGTGTTTTCGATCATATATCGGAAAGCCGTGATAATTTCCACATTAAATAAAAAGCGAAATTCCTACGAGTCGGGTGAAATACTGGGGCGGTTGAATGATATTGTTGTGTTGGCCTATCAAACTTAAATCCAATGTACTATTGCTCTCGAAAAAACCATTATGGGTGACAGATGTCGGATGGATTAGTTTATATTTTATATGATAGCCGTTATAGTAGCCGAACCAAATTTTGTAATAAGGTCTGTTAAACTTTTAATGTTCCAAATTTTGCAAAAAAAAAGTCAATGCATTTATAGATATGTAAGAGCAATTATATTAAAATAAAATTTTTTTTAAAAAAATGTTGATGTAAATATTCAGTAAATACTTCGAGTCTCTACAACTAATGTTTATAGAATAACAACTCTTTTGGTCGAAATTGTATACACAGATATAAGTTTTGTGAGTGTCAATCATAAATAATATGCATGTTACTATTGCGATTTGCATGATTATAATTAAAATAGAATGCGTACTGCTAATGACTAATTTAAAATTATCTTAACGTAACGTATAATTTATTTTTATATAATTATGTTAATAACAAGATTGGTCATACTGGAGTAATAATATTATTCTATTAAAAAGCTAACATATATTTTGAATAACTCACGATAAATTCTTTAACATCGGTTTCTTCGAAATGTTTTAAATCCACAATGACATTTTAGTATTAAAATAATAAAAAAGTGCGTATAAGAAAATATTTGGTTATATTTTTTTTTTTTTTATTACCTTAATTTTATAATTGGTTTTTTTTAGAAATATTTTAAAGGCAAATTTAGCTTCAAATATATTTTTGTTTTTAAGATAATTAGTAAAGGGTCAGCGTTTTATTCTAGTTTTGAATAAAACGCATTTTAATTTAAACATAATAGCGACGTAGAACTATTTTGTTTTTACATTTTCAAGCGACAAGTGTGTATAAAACAACCCTTTAAATGTTTACAATTTAAACTTATTTAGAATTATATAACATAAGAAATATAACATAAGAAATATAACATAAGAAATACGTAACATAATATACTTTTTTTCTTACGCTATAAAAAATAAATACATAAATAAACGGTGAATAAGACAATAATAATTATACACAAAAACAGGACAACATTTTCTAATCAAATTACTATTATATTATTATTAAAAACAATATCTCTGATGGTTATCACTATGAGTACATTGGTTATGTTAAATTAGGTTTGTTAAAAAAACGTTTGTAATAGAGGAATTTTAAATTAATACAATTTAATCGAATCAATTAATTCAACACAATAATGTCTAGTTATAAGTTAACAGTTAATTACTAATAAATGTAGTTCTATAAAAAATTCATATCAGAGAGATATTTAGACTTACTTCTAGGGGGGGGGGCGACTCATTTTTTTTTCTAATAATTCAGACTTAAAAATTACAAGAAAAACATTTTTGCTAATATTAAATCAGGTGAATCTTTAATATTTGTGATTTTTTTTTTTTTAATATAATGCTGGATCCACTTAGAATCGGCTTTTGTGTAGTTCACTTTTAACACTTGTCTATATTTTGAATGTTACGATTGTGTTTTATTTGATTTTTTCACTAAGTATGGACCCGACAAAATATCAATTTAGTATTCACAGCCACGCGTGATTTGATTTCGTTATAAAATGGTCCACATTAAAAAACATTTGAAATGTGTAGGTATCTCACATATAATCGATTCCTTAAATACGGATTTAGGGGGAGGGGCGATCACCCCTTCACTCCTCCCCTTAACATACGCCCCTGATTCGTATAATGGTGAAGTTAATTAAAGAAGGAGTTGTTAAATATAACTTAGTAATATAAAGTTGATTTGTTATTTAATAACTATTAGTATCTGGATCATCAAAATATTGAGTGATAATGTTGTAATTTTGCTTTTAAATCGATTGAAATAATAATTTACCATATTGGTAATAATTATTCATCGTAACACAAAGCGTATAGTAGATGTATCCAATTATTATTAAGGTACATTCTGCTCTAAGCGTTATAAAAGAAAAAATTAAAAATATCAATTGCATTGCGAATGTTTTTAATCTGATTGATATTAATTATGAATCAACCGAAAAAAACCAATAACTATGATATTACAATGCTTTCATTTTAGACACTTTAGCCGTACGAAGTATGAACCGAGTAAATATTGATCAAACGAAATGATCCATATCGATGCCGGGTTATAGAATCGGAGATGGGGAGGGGCAACGTTGTAGTAGTACCTATTATTGTTGTAATAATGTTCGAGTCGGTGACGAACGATACGTTCAGTGTCTCAATACCGCAAACAGCAACAGGATAGAATAGTTAGCGCGTCGGTGAGAATGAGAACAGGGGTCGGATGTTCGAGCACGGACCTCTCCACACCGGCGATAAGTCTTTTTCGACGGCGGAACGACGACAACAACAACAACCGTACGCATTAGTCACGTGGAATTAACGCTATGTAAACAATGATAACGCGCGCAAAGAAGTGACGACGAGCTAGTATTTCTCTCGAGATAGATAACTGGGCCGCATGCGTTATCGGCGTACGGGCGCGACCGCGTTGTGTACACAACCGAACGACGTGAGCGAGAACGCCGACCAGAAATCGCAGTCGCACACGGGTAGACAAAAGTGCGTGTACGTGTCCGCGTGCGTCCGGTTACGTCAGTTCGGTTTGGTGGTCGAAGCGCGCGTCCAGGCGATAACCGTTATCCGTAGTTACGTTCGAGCAGCTCTCCGAGACCACGCGCGGCAAACGCGAGAAAACGCGCCGCGAAATACGGCACTACCCCCGCGTTCGAATCGAAAGGGGTGAAAGAAACTCGCCCTCGACACGGTGTTCGTTGCCGCTCGTACGCGACGACAGCAACAATGGTGGTGATCAGCGCGCAGAACGCTCTGGCCACGGCCGCGGCCAAACTGGAGAAACACATCAACCTGTTGAAGTACACGATATTCTGTTTGAGCGTGGTGATACTGGTGAGTGCTTGCCGGTCCGGCAAAATAGCTTTTGCTTGTGACACGCGTTTGGGTTCCGGAAACGTTTTTCCATATCGCTGCGGTCAGTGACGTATTTTTTGGTGGGAGGGGGGGGGGCGAGGGGAAACCGTCGTTCCGGCCTGAATTTTTCGAAATTTAGAACGGGTGACAACATTTTTTCGTAGTCATAATCTATTTTTATTTGTCAATCGAAAAAATTTGATATTTCAAGATTTTGCGTAGTGACCGAACTGCGATTCTTACTATCAAAAATTGACCGCGTAAAATCCATGGATAATAAATATTATCTTTCTTTAAAAAACATATAAAACTATAACTGGGCTACCAAAACTGTGAATACGTCTCCGGTTGAGGTACCTGTACGGTTATCAATTGGTCATATTGTAGTAGTCAGGAATTTCGATCGTCGTGCTCTGATGAGATTACACCAAGCTTTTCCCATCCTCTTGACCGCTTGACATCGCTTTGCGTACGCTAGACCGAACTGACAGTTATTTTCTTTTTCGCTTAACATCAATTTTACGATCAGTATTACGATCATTATACCGTTGTTTACGAAAAATGTGGAAACAATTGTTCTCGTTCGCGACAAATGTTATAGTCGACATATGCATAAATAATATAGGAAGTCTTCAAAAAGCCTTGTACTCCTTAGGCCTCGCACTCCTTGTGATCATCTGATGTAGACCTAAGGATATGTGTACCACTTGTAGCGTAACGCTATAATAATACATGATAAACTTTCACTCTTTAGGTCATTTTCATACGTGTTTTGACGTTAATCTGTCTAATGATACAGCGTATACATAACATACATACACATACAACGTATATGAACGCGCTTACGTTAAGATTAGGCAACTAGTATTTTATACTTCCCATGGTTTCTGGAAAAGCATAACGAGTTGAAGATTTAACTGATTGATCGTTTAATATCATTAGCTAAATCAAAAATAAGTGTTTAGATATTACTACCACCAGTAGTGTTTTTACGGGGGGGGATAGGTGGACCCCCCCCCTTGAACCGTGTAAAAACTAAAAATATGAATGATCAAACAGTTTACTAAAAATCGTTTTAGCGATAATTTTATGTCAAAATTGCTTACTGTTTACAAAAATGTTTGCTCCTATAAGTTTGAATAAAAAATAATTTTTGTTTTAATTTTTTTATTGATACCGATATTTTATGTTATGCCATTGTGGTATGAAGATTATAGAACTTAAAATTACTTCTCATGTATCAATCAATAGGAAAAAATAAATGGGATATGTATGCAAATTTTAAGTATATGCAAAATATTTTCGCCCCTCCCTTGTGGCTTCTCAAAAACCGTCTTTGACTACCACTTACTTTTAATATAAATTTAAAAAACTTATTTGAGACACGTATTCAAATTAATGTCATTTTACTGTAATTATTTAAATAATTTATACATTCAAACCGATCTCAGTTTAATAATTTATCAACAAACCATATGTTCTCGCATCATAATGAAAGTAAATTTTTTCTTCAGTTTCTTACTAAAATCTTATTCTATCTTGTAAAACATGTCTTCGGTGCTACGTCCCCGATGTGAAATATACTACCCATTTGATTCATTCGATGAGATTATATTATTTTTATTATACGTTTAATCTATTAATTTAATAACGTTATAAGTCAATAAAATAATATATTTTACTAAAATTATAGTTGTCCGACTAATGTATTACGTGATTCATTCTATCACCGATCCGCACCCCAGGCTAATCTAAATTGTCAACTATTTGAAATTCGCCGATTTCCTTCATGTTAAAACTATCAAATGGTATAACTACGTCTCGTTCCCTACACTTCTTGATCATATTTCCTTCCTTGTACCTCAGTATTAATCCCAACTAAGTCTCTCTATCCATGTCAATACTCACCGAACTAAATATGATAATAATAAACCACTCTGTAGAATTTTAAGATTGATAATGAGTTTGACTGTTTACATATAAAAGCATTAAATCATTATATTATCAGTTAACTGGTTGCGGTCAACATTTATGTTTATAATATTATTCTTAATTCTATATTTCGTGTATAATTGTTGTCTCATAAAATCATGTTGTGCATTAATATAAAAATTGTTATAAGTACCATATACATGTAAGCTCAAACATACACATATATATATATATATATTTATGATTGTATTCGGACCAATAATAATGTTTATGAAGTTTAAATTAATAAATAGTAATTTAGTCAGAGGTCCTATATTGAGTAGTCATCTATATATATATATATATATATAGATTTGATCATCCTCTTAATGTTTTAAAATGCAAAGCGACACCGCCAGTGGTGTAATGAGTTTTTGTTTGGTGAAATAGCCGCAAGTATTGTATCAGTAATAATCCGAGTACGCGTCTACGAGACGGGGGCAGCAGCTGCAGCGGTTCGCGCGAACATTGGGTACGAGCGGGTCAGCTACGCGAGAACGTTGAAACGCTATACCTACTTAAAATTAATAAATATTTCACGAGCGGTATGATAAATAATAATAAGCGTTCGTGTTGTTATTCAGTATTATATGTATATTTTAAGTATGTTTTCGTTTTGAGGAAACGAACGTGAACTTAACAGAACTTTCGAATAACAAACGTGCGCATTTTAAGTCGACATTTCAACGACCCCCCGTGTTCGACTTGGCTACAGTTGTAATTTAATTATTTATTGATGCGTGTTTTTTTCTTTACGTCGGCGAGAGCGATATCATATTATTTGGATTATACACGTTACATGATGACGGTTTCTTAATAGGTTTTTGTACGAAATTGTTCGGCACGGAAATATTCTTAGATTAATAAAGCTTAGACGAATTTCACATCATAAGGTTATTAAACAGTTAAACGAATTAAAAAAAAAGAAAATTGGAAGATTGTGGTAAATAAACTTGATTTGTAACCTATTTCGTCCTAGACCAGTGTAACAGTATGTATTGTTTTCAAAAACAAACAATCATTTGGAGGCAGACATGCAATATCAGCACATGGTTAACGACAGAGTTCTTTAAACGTTTTTGTAATGTGACTCTCTTAATTTAATGTAAAATTGTTATGATCCTTAATATTCTAACGTATACAATTATTTTACTATCAAAATCGTTGAAAAACAATGAATTTATTTTCTTTATTATTTACTAAAATTTAATGGTTATACACAAATATTTCACGTAAATTACTTTGAAAATTCAGATATATCTTAACTCCAATATTAAAATTATGAAATTGTAATACTCTTCGATTTATGGAAAAATTATGAAGCCACCAATATCACCAAATTATAACAAATAAAAGAAGAGAAAAAAAATGTAATTAATTTATATTATTTGTTTTATATCGTCATTCTTCTAAAATTCTAATTGTCAAGTTGTTGAAATATTTTGTATGTATAATATATTTATTATAAAATAAATAGTAAAATGGACTAGAAAAGAATAGTATAAAATGTAATAAAGTGACGCGTTTATATTTGATTTTTGTGGAGGGAGGCATAGAACATCATAAGAGTTAACTTGGTAAGAAAGTAAATTTTTCTTTTCATCTTGTATGAAGATAAGTAAATACTATATACGTGTCAACCAATGAAAACCGTTTATAACGAAATTATGAGGACTATTATTGAAAATAACGTTTTATATGTTATGTTTTACCAAACGATTGATTTATTTTTATTTTCTTGCGGTACCTAACATAAAAAATATATGAATCTATTGATCACATATGAGAATTTAATTTCAACTGATGATATAACTGATCAACGGTTTTGTCGTGTTAAAGGATTACGATATAAAAGGTTTCCTTTGATTTTTTTTTTAAATGTTTTACATATTCCTACATGAATAACTATAAAATAATTAAAAAAAAAAAAAAAAAATGATTTTATAAAATATACATATTTTTAATTGCATTTTATTGGGTTATTTTTTGTGCTCAACGTTTAAAACTATTATTAATAATAATAATACATTAACTGTTTTGATATTATTTAACGATAAACACAAGTTAAAATGAATTATCATATATTTATGCTGTTATTAAACTGCGCATCGCTGCACAACTACGATAAAATGTATCGAATACAATTTTAGGAAAAATGTCATACAACCAATCGTTATTTTTTTCCGAAAGGTTTTTTTAATAGGGAAAATTCTTTTTTCAGCTAATAGCCATGGCAAGCCTTCATAAACCGCTACGTAAATGTCTCCGAGGCGCAATTTTGGTTCATAAGTTGTAGGATCGTATTCAGTTAAATAATTTTTTGTCGAATAGTTTATCTGAACATTCGTTGTATTATGTCACTATACCGATAGGGTATTATGTTTTTATGATAATGTAATATTATTGTTCCGAACGTTTTCCATGTGTGTGCTGAGTACGACGACAAACAGATAAAAGGTGCGCGATAATATTTACAGGAAAAAAAAAAACACTTGAACACTCGAGCATGGAAATTTACCAAATTACTATTATAAGACGTGTTTAAAGCGAGGAACATTTCGATTGGTTTATACGTGTAACAATACACAAAATATGAATGGAAATCGTATTGCTCTGACGACGTTTTTTTTTTTCACGAGCGTGCACCAGAAGAAGGTATTCGAATCACAAAAATTATCATTTCTCTATAACTCTCCCTCCGTCGAAGCTCTAGAACGAAGTTCGAAACTTAATATAAAATCGTACTTATTGAATTTAAACCTAATATCAGTATTTAACAAAGTTAAAAAATATCAAATTACTTGTTAATAATTACAAAAATTACATTACATTTTACGCCCGGGGATGAATCCTCGTCTTCTACCCCCAAGTACTGCCCTTGAACATAATCCTATATGGAATTTCAATTAATTGTATAAAATACGTTTAGAAAGTGGGACTTTAGCACACTCGCAGAGTAGGATTTTCTAAATTGTTTTATGGATTGTAACAAAAATCATAATATTTTA